GCTTTCCTGTCTCCTCATGATGTGGCCAAAGTACTTCAACTTTGTCTCTAGTATCTTTCCCTCCAGTGAGCAGTCGGGCTTTATTTCCTGGAGGATGACTGGTTGGATCTTCTCGCAGTCCAAGGCACTCTCAGAACTTTCCTCCAACACCACAGCTCAAAAGCATCGATCTTCCTTCGCTCAGCCTTCCCTAAGGTCCAGCTCTCACATCCGTAGGTTACTACAGGGAATACCATGGCTTTGACTAGGCGGATCTTTGTTGCCAGTCTGATGTCTCTACTCTTTACTATTTTTTCGAGATTGGACATTGCTCTCCTCCCAAGAAGTAAGCGTCTTCTGATTTCCTGGCTACAGTCTGCATCTGCAGTAATCTTTGCACCTAGAAATACAAAGTCTGTCACGGCCTCCACGCTTTCTCCCTCTATTTTCCAGTTGTCAATCATTCTTGTTGCCATAATCTTGGTTTTTTTGACGTTTAGCTGCAACCCGGCTTTTGCGCTTTCTTCTTTCACCTTGATTAGAAGGTTCCTCAGCTCCTCCTCGCTTTCGGCCATCAGAGTGGTGTCATCTGCATATCTGAGGTTGTTAATGTTTCTTCCAGCAATTTTCACCCCAGCTTTGCATTCATCAAGCCCCGCACATCGCATGATGTGTTCTGCATACAAGTTAAAAAGGTTGGGTGAGAGTGCAGCCTTGCCGTACGCCTTTCCCAATCTTGAACCAGTCTGTTGTTCCATGGTCAGTTCTTACTGTTGCTACTTGGTCCTTGTACAGATTCCTCAGGAGACAGACAAGGTGGCTTGGTATGCCCATCCCACCAAGAACTTGCCACAATTTATTATGATCCACACAGTCAAAGGCTTTAGAATAGTCAATGAAGCAGAAGTAGATGTTTTTCTGAAACTCCCTGCCTTTTCCATTATCCAGTAATTTAAACATTAAAAACATTTAACACAGGTAAAAATTCATTACAATTAACATCAGTAACACAATAAAACTATAAGTCCTCCGCATTTAATTACCAGTCATTATCCAGTCCAACTTGACAGATGCAACTGTCTTTCGGGCCCCAAAGGTCAACAGCAAGCTAGGCAAATGGTTGGGAGCTTACTCTGGCCCGGGCTGCCTTCCAACTCGTGACCTTTTGGTCAGTAGTGATTTTAATGCAGCTGACTCCCGCACCACAAGATGCTTTAGGAGCTGCAATTTCCCTTTAGATAACTTGTTCCCTTCCCTTGCTGTTTAATGTTGAAAAACATCACTTTTCCAGTCCAAAAGTGGACTTTGGGCAGTGCCATGGATGTGTTTGTGGCCTTTTGGCAGTTCACACACATCTGTGGCATTGTCCATGGTTCAGAGAAGGTTGCCATTCCCTTGGCATGCAAGTGTGAATGATGCTGAGACATGAAAAGAAAAGCCCGAGTCAAGGCACCATTTAAAAACCAAGCATGTCTTTACAGTCTCCCGGTTTGAAGGCAATACTAAATGAATACAAAACAATCTAAATGAATGCAAACCTTTAATTCATACAAGCCATTAATTTGCATTAAAATAGAGCCAGGGAAACCACTGAAAACTCAATGTGTCTTTACAACCAAATTAGGCTTCTCCCTGTTTTTAGGCAATGCAAACGGAATGAAAATGAAGCAATTTAAATAAATGCAAATCGCCTTTTGAAGCTCCTTTCTCTTGGGTCCAAATTCTATTCTTAGTCCTGAATAGAGTAGACCCAGTGAGTTAATTGTATTTACGTGTGTGTTAACTCACAGTTCAATGATTAATGCAATAGGTCTACTCTAGTTGGAACTAAACAAAAGGATTTCAGCCAAAATTTATTACGAATAATCGGTGGCAAAAAATGTGGGGTTTGTGAAAAACCACCCAGTTTGTTTCATAGCAATTTCAGCTTTGGTTTCTTATATCAGCTGAATTCTGTACAAAAGACAGGTCATAATCTAAAATCAGTAGTATTGGCCCTTTGTTTTATACTCTAGTATCCAACAGAATCTCCTACATAGTTCCTTCTGCAATGCCAGGAAATTTTGATTTAAGGTAATGGTGAGAAATACCTCACCTTTTTTCCCGTTCTAACCATGTGAAGAGCTAACCACAAAAAATTCACCTTCTGCTTGAGAGGAAACCAAGAAAAAAAAAGACAAGAAGAAACCATAGACCTCTTGTTCACATTGAGAAGGAGACAACCTTTGCTTCTCTTCTGCTTTTGAAAGCCATGGGAGGAGGAATCACCTCTAGCTGGATCTCCAAGGAGATGTGAAAATGTACCTTTGTTTAGTGGAGAAAAAGTTTGGACTATTTTTCTCATGTAAGTGTGACCATCTTTAGAACATCTTGACTCCTGATCACAAGGAAGTGGGTGCCGGTCAATCATTTTCTCATTTAGTCATTTTTTTTCACCATTAGTTTTCTTCTATTGACTGATAGAAATAGCTATCTACTTAATACAGCTGTTGACTTTCGTTTCATACAATCTGGGTTTTAGCCCAAATTGTAAAACAAGGTATGAAACCCTATATGTAATATAGCCTCAATTCCATTTAAGTTTGACCTAAAACCTGGAGCAATTGCAGTATTGCCATTGTCTCCTATAATCAGCACCACTACTACTTCTTGTAGGGAAGAGTTCTATGATGACATCTACTAGCAGTACCACTAAATCTCAGAAGCAAAAGTAGTATTAGAATGAGATATGCCAGAAATCTATTTTACAGTGCTTGCTACATGTGCGATTCCTATTCACAATACTGTTTTGTTTTGTTGATTATAGTTAAATGAAGTCAGTGTGACAATTGTGCATCTTTGTACAAAATTATGAGATGGACCTGAAGAAAGGAGGAGTTAGAAGAGAAACACAAGGAGAAAGAAATGAAGGAATACATGGATAATGATTAACAGGTAAGACGTTGAACAAAAAGGAGAAAAGGAGTGGGGAAGTAGCAGGAGAAATGGTGTGGTTCACAATGAAAGAGCAGACTTGGGCAGAAAACAGCAAAAGAAGCAATGTAATGGGGTGCTTTGTTCCAGGTAGAGAAATAACTGGAAATAATATCCAAATATCCATCTCTTTTGGAGGAATAGTACAGAATATCATCTGCAACCATGGATTCCCTTCCTAAGGAATACAAGCAAAGTTATGGCACAGACCTTTGGTTATTCTGATTTTGAGAAGAAAAGTTGGTTGAATATAACGATGAAGGCAGCAAGTCTACCTGTGATGTTGTGATAGAAAATGCAGCCAACCATTATTGTGCTGTGAGCCACACAGTGGTGGGAAATGTGGGAGGACTCACACAGAAACCTGAAGGAGGAGTGGCTGAATTTTTTTCCTCAGAGCCAGAGGTTCACTTCAGTGGAAGTCCTGGATGTCTCTAACATGCCCAGTGAAGGAATAAGAAAGGATGCAGTCCTGATTCAAGCATATCCAGATCCCAGAGATGTTCCTTTTGGATTTGCAAAGACTCAACTCCTGCAACAACATGGTTAGTGCTGGATAGAGGAGTATAGGAATTGTACTCCCTGCTCTGTAGATGTCACCATTTTAATTGTTTTTGACCCATTCTGGTGCACCAGAAGACAGTATGGCAGGGACATATTCTAAATGTTACTGTGCTTTAACTCCTGAATTCTTCATTTCTGGAGGGCCACATCTTCACCCTTGCAGTACCATCTTTTATGGTCAAGAAAGATGTATATGGAGTTGCCACATCAACTAGATCTCCAAGAACAACATGAAGTTCTATATCCCAACCCTATAATTAGAAGAGAGAGAGATTAAGAGAGATCCACTCTTAATGATAGTTTGACAAAGTTCTGTGAAACATAATGCAGACACTTAGGATCTTCATCTAAGTGCCTGCCAAGTGGCTTTCATATGCCAGGTGGAGATGAGGAGCCAGCTCAGCTCATATGGTGACCTAGTTCCAACAAGTTGATTAAAAAATGGGACACTTTTAGATAGACCATGCTGGCATCCTGGCTGCCAACCACATCCTCTGGTTACCCTTTCTCTGTTTTAAAATTGCTTTTTGAGTTATCTTCCATGGCGAGGAAGAGAGCTCGATATCATCCAGGTGAAATTCAAAGTTCAGAAGCTCTTTGAAGAATAAAATTTATTCCATTCCTTTCCAAGTTACTTCTTGGTTCTTGCCACTTCTTAATGAGGGAAGATGTTTTCTCCTTGGGCATTGGTTTTATTATTAATATTAGTCTTCAGTAAGTAATGGTCAATTGATTCATCTGTTACGTTTTGGGGAGGGGGCTTCATGAGAAATTCTCATAGCTTGAGATGTGTGTATAATATCATTTTATATCATTTTTATTGGCTAAACACATCTCTAAGCTCCTTATTTTGTATCTGTGTATACTTGTGGATGGGGTTGAAACCAGATGAAAAGATAATTTAATGTTGAAATGTTATTTTAAAAAGCAATTAGTTGCAATAAAATGCCAAGTCCCACGAATATAGTTTGTATCGTTGCAATAGTAAATTCACAGTTCTTAAAATCTGCATTCTTCTGTTTTAAAATTCTACTGCAAATATTGCCTTTGAGTAAAATAACCAGAATAATCAGAATTTGGACTCTTCTGGCTTATGATACAAAGCAACCCTCAGCCATGTGGTCACACATGTCTTGTAATTAAATCAGAATTAGAGTTATACCATAAAAACAATGAAGTCAACTCTCTTTTGATTACCATAACAATGTATTTAATGCTTTGCTTATTGCATGAATTAGTTGCAATCTTAAGAAGTGTTCCATTTTTGTTATTTTGGAATGAGGCACCTTCCCTCAAGTCAGATCACAGATTATGTTTGGTTACAAGCAACTAGTTCTTTGCAAACTGTGGTGGGACGTGTTTTGTTAAGTAAATACAGTTTAGATTTGAATTATAGGTGCTGAAAAACAGAATGCACTCCTTTATCTTCCAGATCTATTTTCTTATAGAATTTTAATGCTATTATTTTCTCTGCAGAAGGGAGAGTTGGTGCCTCAGTTGACCAAATGGACGGCATTGTGACTGTTACCCAAGGAGGACACATCTCAATCCGCTGCCACTATGAAATGTCTTCTGATTACCGAGCAAGTCCATTCTGGTATATTCAGCCTCTTGGTGAAAGTCCCAGGCTCCTTCTGAGTGATATAGGAAATGGGAATTTCAGTGAACAGTCCCATCAAGGTTTTGAAGCCAAGCATGATAGGAAAAATAAGACTTACAACTTGGAGAAAAGAGCCAGCCAACTGAATGATTCAGCTGTCTATTTTTGTGCTGTGAGTGACACAGTGGGATGGACTGGAAGGGGAGCCTACCAAAAACTTGCCAGAAACAGAAGCAAGAAGAAGCATTTACAACAGAGTTGATCAGACTGAGATCCTACAGATGAAATTCTACAGATATGTTGGAACTACTACTTAATATTTTAACAAATGTTTCAGCTATGGATGAACATAAAAAAAAAAGACAAGGAGATAGCTGAGACAGGCTAAGAGAAATTTGGGAATCCTTTCCAATTCAACACATAACAAAAAAATCTACAGGTTCCAGAGCAAATCAAGCCCAAATGACTACACTTTGGCCATATCATGAGAAGACAAGACTCACTAGAAGAGACATTCATGTTTTATATAAGGTAGAAGGCAGTTGGAAATAGAAAGACAGCATCATGGATGGATGGATGGCCATGGCTTTGAACAGGGCTATTGAGGATAAGGGAACTTGGAGATTTTTCATGCATTTAAGTTGAAGTTAACATGATGGCAGTCAACAACAATGAAGGTAAGTCTTCATAAGCTTCATATTCTTTTGCTATAATTCCTTTTGCCTTTTAAAAAGCTCTATTTTGATAAAGCAACACTAAGAGTGCATCTACACCAGGCATGGGTAAACTTGGGCCCTCCAGATTTTTGGACTTCAACTCCCACAATTCCTAACAGCCTCGGACCCTTTCCTCCCCCCCCCCCTCAGCTGCTTAAGCCCATGCCTGTGTTATAACATGTATCATTCAAGTAAGACTTCCAGAATATATTCTCCATTTGACATATTCCAAGGGAAACGTTTGTGGTGGGAATGTGGGACAATCTGACATTATATCAAGTAGCTTGGTAGATGTTGGGTTTTGTGTCAATATGGATACCATTATGATAAATGTCATAGGACTGTATCCAGAATTTAGAGTACATGGCTGATATTACTTATTAGTCTCATTAGAATCAGTTGGCCAACTTGAAGCTCAACCAAGGGTGCATCTACACTATAGACCATTTTAATTGCAATCGTTCAATACAATAGAATGCTGGGATTTATAATTTGATGATGCACCACAGCTCTTTAGCAGAGAAGACTAGAGTTCTTGTAAAACCACAACTCCCATTATTCTATTGCATTGAGCCATGGCAGTTAAAATGGCTTAAGGAGCCCCCGGTGGCACAGTGGGTTAAACCCCTGTGCCGGCAGGACTGAAGACCGACAGGTCACAGGTTCGAATCCGGGGAGAGGCGGATGAGCTCCCTCTATCAGCTCCAGCTCCTCATGCGGGGACATGAGAGAAGCCTCCCACAAGGATGATAAAACATCAAATCATCCAGGCATCCCCTGGGCAACGTCCTTGCAGACGGCCAATTCTCTCACACCAGAAGTGACTTGCAGTTTCTCAAGTCGCTCCTGACACGACAAAAAAAAAGTTAAAGTGGTGTCGAATTTTATTATTTCTACAATGTAGATGTAGCCTAAATCTCATTCAATTGCATTGTAAGTATTTATATAGGAGTCGTGGTTGTTAAATGGGTTAAACCTGTGTGCTGACTAAACTGCTGACTTGAAGGTTGGCGGTTCAAATCCGTGAGATGGGGTGAGTTCCTGTCTGTAAGCTCCAGCTTCCCATGCGGGTACATGAGAGAAGCCTCCTATATTTATTTATTATTTATTTACAGTATTTATATTCCGCCCTTCTCGCCCCACAGGGGCTTAGGGCGGATTACAGTGTACACATATATGGCAAACATTCAATGCCAATTTGACATACAAAGAATACAGACATACACAGAGGCTATTTAACGTTTTCAGGCCTCCAGGGGAGCTGTCGCTTTCATCATCCATCTGCGACACTGATGAAGTACTTCCGCATTCCCCGCATGCTTTGCTGGAGTCTTTTTATGGCCTCATAAATTAGTTAATTTAGCCTCCCCACACAAGGTGGTACCTAATTTTCCTACTTGACAGATGCAACTGTCTTTCGGGTTGCAAAGGTCGACAACAGGCTACACAATTGGTTGGAAGCCACTCCAACCCGGGCTGGCTTCAAACTCATGACCTTTTGGTCAGAGTGATCTTAATGCAGCTGACACTCAGCAGCTGCGCTACAATCCCGGTGGTAAAACATCCGGGCGTCCCATGGGCAACATCCCTGCAGACGGGCAATGCTCTCACACCAGAAGCGACTTGCAGTTTCTCAAATAGCTGACACAATAATAAATAAGTATTTTATATACATAATAAACAAGTACACAACTGCTTTAGGAAAAAAAGAAGTCACTCTTGTCCAGACAGAAGTTAGGATCTGATAGTAAGAGCAAAATAGGAGAGTATTTGCTATTATTATGAATGGGATTGAGTGAAATTAACTTTTACTGGAATGTTTTCCCTATATTAGAGCCAGATTTCGAACCCAAGGTAATATGAGTCCTTATAGTTCATTGGAGTTTACTTTCACATGGTCTCATAGTGATTTTGGAATCAATGGGTTTCAATTAGTGAAAACTATGATTGCCTGTGGCTCAGGATGACTAAGGATGGTTTTTGTAAAGTGTTTGAGGACTGTGCTCTTAACAAGTTCCAGCTACAGACTGTATTTTGGAAAAGGGGCTAATTTAATAGTCCAACCAGGTATGTAATGTGAAGCGAACGTCCTTCTTTGTCTTTTATGTATTGTGGAATGAGAAATGAGTCTGAAAACTATAAGGAGGTTTTGAAAAGGACAATAAACAGTCATGTATGGGCAATAGAAAGTGGGGTATGTTTCCCTTTAGTGCAGAAACATAGTGATATGATTAGAAAGAATGGAAAGTCTGCTTTGCACAACAGAATTATAGCACTGATTACAGTCCTGCAGAAATGTGAGATTTGTAGTTTTCTAGGGTATTTGAAATGATCTAACAAAAAGCTGTATTGCATCATGAAATTACAACATCCTAGATCAGGCATGGGCAAACTTCGACCCTCCAAGTGTTTTGGACATCAACTCCCACAATTCCTAACAGCCTTAGGTTTAAGAGGGGGGGGGGGGGGGGGAGGAAAGGGCCTGAGGCTGTTAGAAATTTTGGGAGTTGAAGTCCAAAACACCAGGAGGGTCTTTGCCCATGCAGAGCACTAAATAGTGCTCTTTAAACTATCTGATACATCAGACCAACCACTGTTGTTGTTGTTGTTGTTGTTGTTGTTGTTGTTGTTGTTGTTGTTGTTGTTGTTGTTGTTTATATCCTGCCTTTCTCTCCGTGGGGAGTCAATCCTTTCCCCCCAGTTTGCTAGTGATCAGGACCATTTGCTGGAAATTTTCTGTTCACTAATGTAGAATAGCATTGGTCCATGGACCACTAATTCGAGTAGCAATCGAGCCATGGCAACTAAAGAGGTACCAAAGTGTTATAATTAGATATTAAGGAAGTTATGAAGCTGAGAAAAAACTTTAGTCAAGAAAAGATATAAAAAACTGCAACAGGACATGACAGAGTGATCATTCTTCATTTTTGTTTACAGCGGGTTAAACCGCTGAGCTGCTGAACTGTTCGAATTTGGAGCGGGGTGAGCTCCTGCTGTCAGCCCCAGCTTCTGCCAATCTAGCAGTTTAAAAACATGCAAATGTGAGTAGACCGATAGGTAGGAAGGTAACGGCGCTCCATGCAGTCATGCCGGCCACATGACCTTGGAGGCGTGTATATGGACAATCCGGCTCTTTGGCTTAGAAATGGAGATGAGCCACCCCCAGAGTTGGACACAACTAGACTTAATGTCAAGGGGAAACTTTTACTTCACGTAACATGGCAGAGAACAATCACTGATCTTTCATGGCAGCTCACAATTTATTTTTGGAAATGAGACATTGTTTGATTTTGACATTTTATATAAGGGACATCATTTTACTATATGGCTCTGGTCCAGTTTACCTGTCCGAGCGTATCTCCTTCTACTTCCCACCTCGGAGCTTAAGATCCTCTGGGGAGGCCCTGCTCTCGACCCCGCCTTTGTCTCAAACACGTTTGGTGGGGATGAGGGACAGGGCCTTCTCGGTGGTGCCCCCTGTCTGTGGAATTCGCTTCCCGGGGAAATTAGATCATCGTCATCCCTCCTCACCTTCAGAAAGAAGGTAAAATAGTGGTTGTGGGACCAGCCTTCGGGCATTCAGGTTAAAGGACAATGGATAATATTTGACTATGGCTTGGCAGCGGAATTGGATAAGTGAAGCGGAGTAATCATTAGTATATGGCTAGATAAATAGCCACCAGACTTTTTTTTTGTTGTGTCAGGAGCGATTTGAGAAACTGCAAGTCGCTTCTGATGTGAGAGAATTGGCCATCTGCAAGGATGTTGCCCAGGGGACGCCCGGATGTTTTGATGTTTTACCATCCTTGTGGGAGGCTTCTCTCATGCCCCCGCATGAGGAGCTGGAGCTGATAGAGGGAGCTCATCTGCGCTCTCCCCAGATTTGAACCTGTGACCTGTCAGTCTTCAGTCCTGCTGGCACAGGGGTTTAACCCACTGCGCCACCAGACTGGCAATAGCTAAATGGATTGTAAGTATACTGTTTAAATTTTTATTTTAATGTTCATGTTTTTAATTGTTATATTTGATATTTATATTTTATGAAGCGGCATTGAATTGTTGCCAATTGTAAGCCGCCCTGAGTCCCCCCAGGGGTTGAGAAGGGCGGGGTAAAAATGTTCGAAATAAATAAATAAGTAAATAATAAATACCACCGTATATAAGGGGGCTTGAGCATCTACAGGTTTTGGTATCCATTGGAACCAAATTGTAGTGGATACCCGGGGCTCCTGCATATACAATTCCAATAGCCAGATATGAATTAAGGAAGTTCGTATTGTTACAGAAGCAAAATCAAAAAGTTTCTGCAGGTGGTAGTTTATGTAGAGGTCTCTTTCACTGTGTGTCAACTCGGCAAGTACTCCCACACTTCGTTTGGGAAATGGAACGCAACTGTAAGTCCCACCAAGTAAGCCTGAGAATAAATTGGGTCTAGGAGCTGCGGGGGCACAATGGGTTAAACCTTTGTGCCGGCAGGACTGCTGACCAATAGATCAGTGGTTCAAATCTGGGGAGAGCGGGTCGAGCTCCCTCTGTTGGTTCCAGTTCCCCATGCAGGGCATGAGAGAAGCTTCCCACAAGGATGGAAATTCATCAAACATCTAGGCGTTCCTTGGGCAACGTCCTTGCAGATGGCCAATTCTCTCACACCAGAAGCAACTTGCAGTTTCTCAAGTGGCTCCTGAAACACTCAAAGTATTGGGTCTCTTTTTGCTCACTTTCGCATAAGCAATTTGATACTACTTTAACTGCCTAGTCAATTTTTTAACAATGAATTTTAAAATCACACTTTGTTTTGATTGTATATTGATCTTTGCTCTGTGTATTTTAATATGTGTATTTTGCTGAATGTTTTGTGATGTGTGCTTAACTATGTTGTGCCCCACCTCGAGCCATGAAAAGAGGCAGGTAAAAAATAACAACAACACACTGAATGCTAGAATTTGTAGTTTGCCTTGGAGATTTCTAGAAGAATTCTAAATACTTTATGAAACTACAGAGTATAGGATTTCATGGGCTTGACAATTTGAAGAAAATTAAAGTACTGTCGTTCTGAAGTGTAATCAATTCAACTATCATCTGGAACCTCAAAGATAGTCCTGATAGTAAGAGTAAAGGTTGTAGTTGTTTGCCTTCAAAGTATTTCTCACATTTAGCAACCCTAAGATGAAACTTATAAGGTTTTAATGGATTGTCGAAGGCTTTCATGGCCAGAATCACTGGGTTGTTATAGGTTTTTTCGGGCTGTATGGCCATGTTCTAGAGGCATTCTCTCCTGACGTTTCGCCTGCATCTATGGCAAGCATCCTCAGAGGTAGTGAGGTCTGTTGGAACTAGGAAAAAGGGTTTATATATCTGTGGAATGACCAGGGTGAGACAAAGGACTCTTGTCTGCTGGAGCTAGGTGTGAATGTTTCAACTGACCACCTTGATTAGCATATAATGGCCTGACAGTGCCTGGAGCAAACTTTTGTTGAGAGGTGATTAGATGTCCTTGTTTGTTTCCTAATTCCAACAGACCTCACTACCTCTGAGGATGCTTGCCATAGATGCAGGCGAAATGTCAGGAGAGAATGCCTCTAGACCATGGCCATATAGCCCAAAAAAACCTACAACAACTCATAAGGTTTTCTTTGCAAGCTTTGTTCAGAGAGGTTTGCCTTTGTCATCCTCTGAGGCTAAGAGTATGTGACACATCTAAGGTTGCCCAGTGGGTTGTAGCTAAATGGCAGTTCAAACTCATATCTCCAGAGTCTTAGTGAAATCCACAGTAGCAAGCCCATTAAAACTTAAACCATTGTCGAAGGCTTTCATGGCCGGAATCACGGGGTCGTTGGAGCTTTTTTGGGCTATATGGCCATGTTCTAGAGGCATTCTCTCCTGACGTTTCACCTGCATCTATGGCAAGCATCCTCAGAGGTAGTGAGGGTAGTGAGGATGCTTGCCTAAGCCTATCTATATGCAGGCGAAATGTCAAGAGAGAATGCCTCTAGAACATGGCCATATAGCCCGAAAACAACCTACAACAACCCAAAACCTAAACCACTGACAATATAGCTATACAATTCCATATTAGAAAAAAATGTAATTAGGTGATGATAATAATATGTAAATGGTTAACACCAATCACTCTGGCCCACTTGCAGAATGCCTGGGCTATGTTTTTGTAAAGGCATTTCCTGCTGTGTGAACAGGGAAGGTGCGAAGATGATATTTGGATCTGGAACCAAGCTGGAAGTGAGATTTGGTAAGAAGGAAGAGGGACTGAATTCTCTAAACAGAGCTTATCATAGGAGGAGGGTGGTCAGTTCTGGTATTTGTATTTTTAAAAATATTGTTGGTTGATGGATGTTTCAAGTGGTCCTGTAAGTGACTGATATGGAGTTGGTGGTTTTTGTAATGGACTCTATTGCTGTGGGAAATAACTTCAATGCACTCACCATTGGTTCTGGTACGAGGCTTACTGTGCTACCAAGTAAGTAGGTGGAACATATTTGGTACCTTTTTATTGTGATGGGCCTCCATTTCTGACTTGTTGCTACCGTAAGGCAAACTTATTACAGGGTTATTTTAGTTAGACTAGTTCAGAGAGAAATTGCTTCTGCTTTCCCCTGAGGCTGAGAATGTGCAACTTGCCCTGGTCACAAAATGAGTTTCAATGGCCAAGAGTATATTTGACCCCTAATCTCCAGAGTCGTAGTCCAGTGCTCAAACCACTACACTACACTGGCTAATTTATGATTCTCTATGCCTATTACTTTTAATTAGCAACATGATGGGGGAGGTAAGGCCGTGTTTGCTCTAAATCAGCATTCATATTGGGTTAAAGTCATGCAGGTGTAGGGCAATGGAGGGTGATGGCTGCCATTTCTGTGAGGCTATGAAGCCACACTGGATTTTAGTCCAGTCTTTAAAGGAATGGTCCAGGGTGTGAAATCCATTCTGGGGATGGGTTTGACACCAGCTATAACTTCTTTAATTATATTTCCAGTGTCCATGGGACAGTGAGTCTGCTCCAGGTCTAAGGTTAGACTGTTTATCTGTCACCAGAATAGTTTCAGCACTTTGGATAGTTCCTTTTAACATTTTATTTATTCATTAATTTGAACACAGTGTCATTTGCAACTGAAGTAAAGAGAACAAAAAAAAACTAGAGAAAAAAGGGATATATATATATATATATATATATATGGAGAGAGAGAGAGAGATTACAATGACTAAAACTAACCAAAAACACAATTCCAAATTCCTAACCTAAAACAATAAATGCTAACTAAAACACTAAAATAAGTAACTAACACTAAAGAACTGTGAGCCCTGAATTCAAACTGTAGTGAAAAAAGCAACAACTGAAATAAAAATATAGATTATTTACCATTAAGATCCAACTAAAGTCACAAATTATTATGTCGTTAGGTGTCTTGTTGCTCAAATTTCCATAAATGAGTTTTAGTCCAAACTTTAAAGGAACTGTGTAGCATGTGGAATTCATTCTGAGGATAGGTTTGAGACCAGAAATAGCTTCTTTAAATATATTCCCAGTGTCTATAGGACAGTGAGTCTGCTTCAGGTTTGAGTTTGGAATGTTTATTCTATCCCCGAAATAATTCCAGCACTTTGGATAGTTCCTTTAAACATTCAAACTGTAGTGAAAAAGGCAACAATTGAAATGAAAATATAGATTATTTTACCATCTGAGCTTCCGGCTGTCATTACAAACAAGTAGAATGAAAAAAAAAAAGGAGTGATAGTCTTAAACTAGGCTGGATTACTTGATTGGATGAAGAGTGGTGCTGTTGGAGGTTTTTGTAATGAGTTGTATTGCTGTGACAACAATGATCGCAAGGTCATCTTTGGAACTGGAACAAAGCTCACTGTACAACCTGGTAGGATCCTAGAACATACTCTGTCTTTACTGGCTCTGTGTGTGTGTGTGCAGAATATTGGTGGTAAGAGTGGAATATGTGAATTTGGAGTGTGGTGGAGTCTCCTTCTTTGGAGGATTTTCAACAGAGGCTAGATGGCCATCTCTCAGGAGTGCTTGGATGGTGTCTTCCCTTCTATGAAGTCAAAGGAGAAGCAAAAGGCTTTTGCTTTAATGCCAGGAAGCAATGTTGTAATGAAGCCAGGGTCAAAGCATCCTAACTGTACACTACTAAATGTAGATATAGGTATTGGTGTGAAATCTTCCATTGCCATTCACAGAAGGCAATATTTGTGCGAAGCCTTCATGGCCACCCACCATTGCTCTGGGATGCTCCATGCTTTATAACACCCAAAATATATTAAAATTGTAATAATATTTGAGATTTTTTTTCCATTGAAGGTTGGCGGCGATTCTAAAAACCAAAAGAAGCTAGTCTTAAACATGGGTATATGTGAGCTTATATATTGATTTTTATTAGCCTCAACCCAGCTAATCAGCCTTTTAGAGGCAAATGCCTTAGATTCAACCAGAAAATAATAATTACAAGGTAATTTGAAATAGGAGCCCCCAGTGGCGCAATGGATTAAACCCTTTTGCTGGCAGGACTTGCTGACTAACAAGTCAGCGGTTCAAATTCGGGGAGAGTGGGTTGAGTTCCCTCTGTCAGCTCCAACTCCCTATGTGGAGACATGAGAGAAGTGAAACATTAAAAAAAATCCAGGTGTCCCCCGGGCAATGCCCTTACAGACAGCCATTTCTCTCACACCAGAAGCGACTTGCAGTTTCTCAAGTCATTCCTCTCTCTCACACACACAAAAATAAAATTAATTTAAAAAATCGAAATAATCCATTCTCCTGAGCTTAAATCATTCCTTTGGATATGCTGCTTATGTGGATACCAAAGTGAGTCTCAGATAATACAAAAAGCTACTCTCTTAGGCAATCCCTCATTGTCCAAGTATGATGTCCTTCCTAGGATTTTATTTTTCTTGGAAGATGCCTGTGTGTGGGTTTGCAGCCTTCTTCTGCCTTCACAGCCGTTGTAACACCTGATCCACCATTGAGGTCTTCAGGTCTTTGGAAGCAAGGGATGCAAAGACTTTCTCATGGAAAGCTACCTGTAGTTTTTGTAAAGGAATGTTTTACAGTGTAATTCAGATTATGTGGGCTCCAAACTCACCTTTGGAAGAGGAACAAGTCTGAAAGTCAACCCAGGTACTTAGGAATGAAATAAGATGTTTGGACACATACACAAGTGGAAACTAGTAATTTCAGTATTGATACAGTGGTTTTACATCGGTTCTGTTAGTCTGAACTTTAAAGCAGAGTTTCTCAAACTGTGCTTGTCCAGATATTTTGGACTTCAGCTCATACAATTCCTAGTAGCTAGTCCAAAGCATCTGGAGAAACACCGCTTTAAAGTAATGAACAAAAATTCTAAATGAATTTGGGATTGTGGTTCAGCATTTCGGTTAGCTCTTTTATTGTTGGGAACAGATTGACCTCTCTAGTGCTTGCATGTCAAACTCAAGGCCTGATAGTTAAATCTGGACCTCTATGCCATTTCATGTGGACCTCCAGATGTTGGACTACAACTCCTGTATTCCTCATCATTAGTCATCATGGCTAGAGGTGATGCGGGTTGTGATACAGGAGCATCTGGAAAGCTGCAGTTTATTCTGTTTAGTCTAGAGAGTGGGGTTTGGATAGATGCAAGACTTGTGAATATGATATTTGACTTTAAAATGTCCTTTAATCTTTCCCCAACCTAGGAGCTACAGGTGATTTAAATTGCAATTCCCACTATCCCCAATTCTCATGGCAGATAATCAGAAGTGATGGGAGTTATTGTTCAAAAACTGGGTAAAAACTAAAGAGCACCAACTGCTATATATAAAAAAATATATAGTTGATCCCTAGATTCAATGGCCCTTTGAAAGCAACCATAAAGACTGATGGGACCCTTGATGAAAATGAATTTGACATCTCTCGTGGCATAAATATATCTGCATGAAATAGGCAAATCTGCTATTAGTGCTGTTTGATACCTGAACTACAGATCCTCGCACAGCTTATGGAAGAAGCAAAGAGGGCACCAATAACTGTCTAGAGAGTAAGAGAAAATTTTCAGACTCTGGGTTAGTGCAGAATAGACTGATACGTCTCTTAATGACCATGTTTTTTCCTCAACAAGGAAAAGGTGCCTTTCCCCAATAGTGTAGAATTCCTTCACCACCCATCAAGGACCATAATCCACTTAAGGTCTTGACTAGATATAAGCCAAGTTGCTTGGACAATATAATGCCTTGGACTGGTGGGTTTTTGTAAGGAACTGTGTCACTGTGAGCAATAATAATGTCCAGATCACCTTTGGGTCTGGCACAATGCTACTTGTTTTACCAAGTAAGTAAGTGGGAATTTTGGACCTGAACTCATTTAGTAAAGCATGAGATACATTTAGCATTAATTGCTTTTTTGGGGATAGAAGAAGGCAAGGCAAGAAAATGAGATTAAGACTTAAGGGTCACCCAACTTGGCACGTATCTGCTTCACAATAGTTGCTTATTCTTGCTTCTCCTTTTCCTCATCACTATCCTTAGTGAAATGTCTGCATATGTTTATGCTTAAGCAAATGCCACATTAGATGTGGATCAGGGACAAAGATGTATATCCTAATGTTAGGTAGGATCTGATATATGAGCTCTACTGTATTCCCCAGATGGGATTCATGAGCCCTGAAACTGAGCAGGAAGGTAAACAGTAATTGAGATAGATGAAGATTATTCAAAGCATCAGTATTTTATAGAATTTCAGAATTATGCAAATAATGACAAATTTGCATGAGAGGTATCTAAGGTATATTGGTAAACCTTATCTGAGGTTTATGTGGCACGCAAAGAATGTATCCATAAATTGTTGTTTAAAAGAGTTTGGCCCTATATGTAACCACGAAACATAACTTTTGGCTGTCGGCCCTGAGCACATAATGTTGCACTTCTAGCATAGCATAAATGACAGAGTTCAGCAAGTAATACAGGTTATGGGAAGACATCAGCTATTTAGTGATCAGGCTCACTAAAACATACAGCTGAATATTTCATTCTTATTTTATGCCAGCTACCATGTAAGTCGAGGCCCCGGTGGTGCAATGGGTTAAACCCTTTGTGCCAGCAGGACCGAAGACAGACAAGTCAGAGGTTCAAAACCGGAGAGAGCACGGAAGAGCTCCCATCTGTCAGCTTCAGCTTCTCATGCAGGGACATGAGAGAAGCCTCCCACAGGATGGTAAAACATCCGGGCGTCCCTTGGGCAATTTCCTTGCAGTCAGCCAATTCTCTCAGACCAGAAGTGACTTGCAGTTTCTCAAGTCGCTCCTGACATGAAAAAAAAAAAAACCATGTAAGTTTCCTTTGTCGGTACAAAAGTAGTACATTCCATCAAGTTCCTTCTTTCTTTCTTTCTTGGCTTCCTTCCTTTAAGTAGAAGAGAACAATAACAGAAACTTCCTTATTTCTGGTGGAAATGGAAGCAATGAAAAGACAAGTCTTTGTTTTACAGTACATCTAGTTCAATTGCTTCTGAACAGAAACATTGTGATCTTCAATGTATTGTTGAAGGCTTTCATGGCTGGAATCACTGGGTTATTGTAGGTTTATTCGGCTATATGGCCATGTTCTAGAGGCATTCTCTCCTGACATCTATGGCAAGCATTAGGCCTGGGTAACAACGGAAAAATTTGTTTCTAAAATCGATTCGTTTTTTGGAGGTTTTTGCGTTTCGTTATTTAAAATAATTACAAAATTTTCCTTTTAAAAAGTTCGATATTTACGAAATTTCGTAAATGGTAAAAAATTAACGAATCGATTTCCGAAACAATAACGAATCGATTCGTTAATGGCGGACGCGACCGCGAAATACGCTAAAAAACCTCCAAAACCTTCTGAAGCTTCCCTCTCCCTCTGTTGTTGACTGTTGGTGTGATATTATAATTTTTTTTCACTAATTAAACCATAAAACTGGCCCAGACATGCGGAAATAATAACGAAACGACCTCAAAACAATAACGAAACGAATACA